CGGTGCAATGCCGTCACTCTGAGAATGTGAGAGCGCGTGGCGTTAGCTCAGTGTCCAATGTCTGACAGGGCAAAGTAGTGATATTGGAGGAACAAGTTTCGCCTGCCTTATCAGCACTGATCATAGACAAATATTTTCCTAATAAAGCGCCGAAGTTTTCGAGTTCCAAAAGCTCGAAAACTTCTAAAATTAGGAGCAACGGTGCCCCTAATTTTATCGATTTAGTTATTTACTTTCAGACGTGCCCCCTTCATCGGTGTGCGTTAATGCAACTGTCCACCTCTTCACCCGTTACGATTTCTCCTGTCCCAATATTTTTTTTTTTTTTTTTATAATTTGGGGACAGGAAATATTATATTTCTCCTGGAATGGCCCGAACGCACAATAAAAAAAAAAGAAAAAGGGAGAGGGGGGGGGGGGGGGGGGGGCTTCATAGCGCCGAAGTGACATAATCAAAGTTCTTGAAAGTGTCAAGCAACAGCGTCACTAACTTCGCACTGCTGCCACACTTCTTGGCGTACTAAAGGATGCGCTTCAAACGCGATCCAAATGACTTAGGAAATGTGACCGAGCAGCGTCTCTACAAAATAAAAACGGCTGGGCTAGAGAAGGCTCGTTTCTTCTGACGTTCCAGGTTTCAAGAACATTTCTTCTGTAGCTAATGCAGGATAGAAAAAGAGAACAAGCAATTCGCAGAGTAGCACTGATCTAATGTCGTCCCCCACACAAGGCGACGCTGATATGTGGCGAAAGCAACCAAAGCGGCGTTCCATTGCGCCCCCCCCCCCCCCCCCCCAAGAAAAAAAAAGAAAGCGTGAAAGTAAAGAGAAAGATGATTATTGCCCGAGCGTTCTGCAGACCGTGCGATGCAGACACACCACGAGAGATTGACAGTGCCTGCTAAGCAAATAGCTTTGGAATCAAGCAGCTCCACATTCAGTATGGATCGAGCGCATGGAATGTAAGAAGTGGGCTTATGAAAAGTGCCTTGAAGCTTACACAGTGTGTTTCAAGTGTTTTCATTGCAAAAACTGAACGCATGTCAAGTTTTTTAAGTGTCTCAGTGTACCCCACGATACGTTGTCTCACTTTGCCCCACAGGGCGGGGCAAAATGAGACATTGTGTTTAGCAGTCGCTTACGCCAGTCGGCGCCTCAGAGATGTCGAACAACGCTACCGTTCATCGGAGCTGGAATGCCTAGTTATCTTATGGGCTATTCAACACTTTTGGCCCTACTTGTGTGGTCATCGTTTCACTACCTTTACAGACAACTCGGCGTTACTTTGACTTCAGAAGACGCGAGACCTTACTCCGTAGCTTGCTTGTTCGGCTTGGCTTGTACATGAGTATCAGTTGGATAGGTCTAAGCCAACTCGTCGAAAGCCAGCTCGTCGACGGTCAACTCGTCGGCGGCCCATTCGTCGAATAGGCCGATTCATCATGGGGCAACTCGTCGAAAGAAAACTCGTCGCAGAGACTAACTGGTCGCCGCTTTAAAAGGCAAAACGTATATTTTTTTCTGGAATTTTGAAGCAAACACTGTGCTACAGTGATCCCAAGAATCCCCGCACGGTAAGTGACCTCCAGTGTGCTCTTTCTTGTCGAAGATAACTTGCCACTTGCGCTGCTTTCACGGTGCTGCTGTGGGGCAGTGGCGTAGCAACGAATTTTTTTCGCTGCTGGTGGGGGGGGGGGGGGAGGGAGGGGAGGGGCTGAGGTGGCTAGGATGTTTATGAGTTGGGGAGCGAAGAGGAAGAGTGGGGGGGGGGGGGTCTAAATGGGCTTGAGTATGTTATAGGGTCGACTGGATTTCGGGAGGGGGGGGGGGCTAAAGGCCCATAAGCCTCCCCCATGGCTACGCCACTGCAGTGGGGGACAGTCACTACGTCTCGCGTGTATCACTGGGGCGCGTGTTAACCTACGGAGCCCACCCGTTCACACCGCTTTGCGGCGACAGTCTGCGGCGGCTCATTACAAAAAGTAATAAAGACAATTAACAAAAGGACGATCCCGAGATGACACATTTTTCAACTTGTCTCAAGGTTCCTTCATGTCTTCGCACTCTGGGGTGCAAGCCCGCGTGTGTTGTCGCTGCGCGGGAAGTCAACCTCCACCTGCTCGTGGTGCACCCTGCCAGCTTCATTGCTGCAACGGAGGCTCTGGCGAACCCCCCCCCCCCCCCCCTCTCCCCCACCTGGGGTGGGGAACTCTAGCACTGGGGTTTCTTATGTGGACGGGGGGGGGGGGGGGGGGGACAAAAAGGGCCTAGGGAACCCTAGCTTTCCCCGCTGGAGGACGGAGCCCCTGAGGCGGGGAGCGCGGCGTGTGACGTGTGGCGTGGGACGTGTGGACGCGTCAGCCCGCATTACGTAAGCGACCCAAATGTGTGGACGCATGACGTGTGACGACCTGACCTGAAAAGGGATGGAAGTGTGACGCGAAGCGTGTTGACGTGTGGGGAGTGGGCGATGGAGTGGCTGACGAGAGATCGTGACGTGTGACGCGGGACGTGGGACGCTGCGTGGTGATCCGAGGCGAGGCATCCATACAAGGGGAAGGCTGTCATAAAGGTGGTGCCTCTCGTACCTTCCCAAGTAGGGAGGCGCCCCCGCAGGATGGCGGGGGTGGTCTCCAGGGGAGCCGAGGGATATAAAAGTGATCACTGCGACGGGGCTGTGTGGTTCGTGGTTGCCATACAGTGACCGTCGGACCCGCTGTGAGACGCACTCGTGTCTTAGTAGCGGAGGCGGACAGTGAGTCGGGCATCGGTGGTGCTTTTAGTACTGGCTGGCTTTTCCTGGGCCGTTCCACTGGTTGCGCAGGTTGGTGGTTCCTTTATTTCCAATTATTTCCAATTGGCATTTCCAAGAAATTTCCCCTTGATCCAAGGATCTAGTTCATTTTACTTTAAATTGGCTTTAAGTCTGCGGTGCGGAAGCGGGAGCTTACTATTGACACAATATTTTTCCTATTTCTTTAAGTCTCACATAGCAAATGTCTTCGCACTCTTGTGATTTGTTTTTCTCTTTCAGTCTTGTAACCTAATGAGGGCGCTGCGTTTAGTCCAAACACACACAAAATATATATATATATATATATATATTTTCAAAGGTAAGAAACCACGAAATGTTACCTCGGACCGTCATTGGACCCATTCGACGGATCGCCCTTCGAAAGATTGCCCCTTTCTACTAGTTGCCCTTCTATGGATTGCCGGATTACGAATGGGCCTATTCGACGAATCGACCGTCTACGAGTCGGCCGTCGACGAGTTGGCTTTCGACGAGTTGGCCAGATCCCCAGTTGGGTATATGGCATCGAAGCAGGAAATATCACACGGACGCCGATTTTCTCTCAGGCAATCTGATATCCCCTGCTGAAGAACTGAACAAAGAGGTGCAGTTTCGCACCTTTATGTTTAAACCTGCTGAGTCTCACGCTTCAGACCCAGTAATTCAAGATGTTATGTCGTGATTGAGATCTCCCACTTCTCATACAGCAGAGCGACGTCTACGCCGCGTTTATCGTTTCTGTCATGGGCTCCTCTGCCGCCGCGGAGCGCAAGGTTGGTTGCCCTTTGTACCCACGCGTACGCGTGAAGACAAAGACATACTTGATGCATTTTGGAGTAAGGGGAAATAGGTCGAAATGGTTGGTTGATGTCGAAAATTTCAAGGGGTATTTTAGGCAGTGTATACGCTGAATGCCAGCATTGATGGTGGGGTTCGCAAATTTCCGTGATATCCTTTTAACGTACGACGATATGTATTAGGCGGCGTCTGTGAGAACCTGTGGCCCCAAGATCTTCTTTGTAATTTTGTCTCTTCCGAAATGTATATCGGTTATGTTGTCGTGACACAGCAGTGCGTACTGCTGTACGCACTGCTATGTCACGACAACATACTCTGTATTACGCAAAATAAAAAATGTCCGCCAATCAAATTAGGCGGCTGAACACTAATCATTCTGCAGGACTGTGGTACCAATTTGTTCTTCACTAAAAGTTCGTAAACAAAAAAAAAAAAAAAAAAAAAAAGATTGGTTCACCTAGCAAACCATTACTGGGCCGCAAAACCGCTGATGACCGTAGGCACTGCCAGCATAAGGAGCGCCGGGTGTGGAGAGTCCTTGGCATCTTACCATCGCTCCACAGCCAATGAGATCGCGCCATTAGTCTATAGGAAAGCCGAAGGACCAATGTCAACTTTGTTCCGGTTCACTAAGCCAACTCGCGTCAAATGTAAGCGTCGGGGACGAGCAGCTCTAGCAACGAGTCGCAGAATAACATTTTCAAAGTTAATAAATGATTTATTTTTGTCAGCTAGTGTTTATTTTTGTTTATTCTCAACTTCCGCAAATAACTGCCTAAATAAAAAATCTTGAACAGAATGTTGGTATTTGCTTGGATTGGAGCAGTCCGTGTTTTATTATCCGACTGAACCCATTGGAGCCATGCCATTTGAGAACACCATATATATATATATTTTTGTTTTGTTTTTGTATTATGTAAGTTTGTCTGTTTGAAATATGATTTTTGAATACCTGAAATGTCTTCTGGTTATCTTTTCTATTTTCTTTCGTGGCTCTGTGTGTGTACACTAAAAAATAAAGATGGTTAATATTACACTAAGAAAAGGCGAAATTTTACGTTGAAACTGTCATGTCCACTCGCACGTCTTTTTAAATGTTTTCAGTTATTTGTTCAGATGTACTTACAGTACAATTAGCCTGGCGAACGTTTCAGATAATGCTTTTTTTACATGAAAATATACTGCGATACCGTAGCAGCTGACAACAAGCGATCACGAGGCAATGACGAATGTAAAAATTATCATCGCATCAGTGAACACGAGAAATACTGAAGAAACAACGAAAATTGCCGGTTTTGGTTCGCCGAGCGGCGAGCACTCGTGGAGATCAAAGTTTTCGTGTTTCTTTCTCTCACCAGCACCCTGTAGCTCTCGTCCGCGTATATAGAGGCTGCATCAGGTTTCATTGTTTTTTCTCTTCAAGCACAGATCTGCTCCGGGGACTGTTATCGCGGTTCTTATCAATATTCCGGAGAACCGCCTCCTCTAGTTTTCACGCGACACTCCTCTCACTTGCGGCTCCCGACTGCGCTGGGTTCATCTTATCCCAGCAACACGGTCAAAAGGTTCTACGACTGTAATCGCGTTGCTCGCTAAGTGACACTTCCCAACGACTTCCCGTAGTACACTTGCGTTGTTTATTGAGGAACGCGTCTGAACTAGTTCACTCCTACTGTGATTTTAAGATATTATCCCAGCACCACGGCCTAGGTGACCCGCTAGTTTACTTGCGTTGTTCGCCGAGGGCCACGTTCCAGCTACGTCACTACCACTGTGGTCTCAAGATTTCATTCATTAAGGCCTAAAAGACTCACTAGTATACTTAAGTGTTTCGTTGAGAAACAGGTCTGAACTAGTTCACTTCTACTGTGGCTTCAAGGTTGTATCCTATAGTACCTTCCTACGGTTCCAAGATGGTTCCTGGTACAAGGATGACCCTCGTCTTGACCTCTCTCCTTCTCCTGATCTTGAAAGTCCAGTGTCTGGACAATGGCCTTGCCAGAACACCACCCATGGGCTGGTTGACGTGGACAAGGTTCCTCTGCAACGTCGATATCATCAACGATTACGACAACGCTATCACGTAAGAGAACGCCAAATTCTTTTTTTTCTTCCATTCCGCCGTTGTCCAAAACGTCCCAGCTAAAGCGACCAATACACCTCTGTCACGTGGCCTCTGTGAACCTAGATGCACCAAGTTTCTCTTCAGAGTAACTACACTTTATTCTAAATTGCAAGAAACGGTTTTTCGTCGTCTAGATATGTTCGAACAGCATGGCACAGTGCAAATCAATATTGTCCGAGCTTCCTGATGCTGTGTCTAAACTCAGGGAGTTGCACTTTCGGACTGTAACGATCGCTTATTGCGCACGCTCTGCACCAAGCTACAAAATGGCGGCGCTCGCAAGAAAATCGAGAAACGGAGTGCCGATACTCTAAGCGTAGCAAATATGTAGTGACATATGTGTAAACCAGAGATGTGAAGGCGGCAGCAGAACACGGCAAATTTTGGGCGCTGACTTCCGCGGTTGCTAGAGAAAGAACGAGAAAGAGAGCGACAGATGAGCGAAAAAAGAAAGTAGACAAAAGGTTAGGCGTGTCCGCTTTGCCGCGATGAGTTGAAACGTTGCTGGAGCGCTTGTCAGGGTTATTTAGTTCTATCAATGCGCGATTCCTGCGCTTTTCTGAAAAGGAAGGTAGAAAAAGGTATTTTTTAGTTCTTTTACGCTTCATTTCTTGCCCGTGGGCTCGAAATAATTCTGACACCGTTATAAACGATAAATTCTCATAGCTAGTGCGTACATTTGACCTTACAAATACTGCGAAATATTGAGTCCAGTTATACGCAGATCTGAACTGTGCCCGGGCTACCCTATAGATAATGCGTTCTATCGTCAGAAGCGGTCACGCAGGCGGTCATATGTGTGAACCCGCCCTTAAGGTTCACTGCGAAATATTATTTATGTGATTACGAGTATACAATGTACAGGGTGCGCTAATATGAACTGGCTCCGGCGGCGTTCCGGAGAGGGTGGCACAACAGCCATACGCCCCGGGTACGTTACTGTTACAAAAATGAAGAACGTACGTTTACAAACCTCTGTAAGGGGGTGTCCAAACAGGACACTACAAAACGCACGACTCCGACAAATCGTGAAAATTGCAGTGGACGCGCCCGCTTCAAGCCCGCTTCAATTTTCACGATTTGTCGGAGTCGTGCGTTTTGTAGTGTCCTGTTTGGACACCCCTTAATGCGGCACTAGAGCGCAGCTCTTGAGGAGGAGAGGGGAGGGTACGGAGGGGGAGTATGCCCATCCACCTCCTCCGTATTCTCCCCTCCTCCTCTCCTGCTCTCCTTCTCCTCCTCACCTTCTTTCCTCCTCCTTTTTGACTCCACTTCTTCTTCCTCCTCCCTCCTCCTCCTCATTTCCTTCTCCTGTCCTTCCCCCCCGTTAAATTTGCCCGCTAAATTTCCCTCTAAATTTAGTGAAAATTTCCCCGCTTAAATTAGCGGATTAAGTTTCCCCGCTAAATTTAACGGCGAAATTGACGTCACTTGACCTCAACACCAACTCAGTTTCCCCGCTAGATTTAGCGGGAAAATTGACGTCACGTGACCTCAACATCAATTCAATTTCCCGCCACATTTAGCAGGGCGTTTACGCCGACGACGACGCCGACCCCGACGCCGGTCAACGCGGAAACAAACCCCTAAAAGCTGCGCTCTAAAAAAAATAAAAAAAAAGCAACAGGTTGCCGCGGTAGTGGACGTTGCAGACGATGTTTCTGCTGCAGGCCACCCTCCAGCTGCTCAGCCCACGGAAGCTTCGTGCAGCCATTAGCTGGGACGCCGTGACGAAAGCGACACTCGCGTTCGCTGGTACAATCTTCTGGGACGTCTTGCACCAACCGCTAGGATCGCATGGAACTCCGGCTTTCGTGACGTCACTTGTTGCCACTTCGGTACCACTTTGGATGCATGGGCGGAATGGGACGCTAAACGCTCTAGAGGGGACGCGTTGCGGGCACCGTGTAAGAAACCTAGGGCATGTCGAGTCCCAGGCCTCTTATTATCTTTTAGCAGTGTCAACTCATACCTGCATCTGAGTCTTTAACGAGTTATACAAATACTGCCCGCAAAGTTGGTCTACTCGGTGTGTCGTTGCAGAGGTGAACTCCTCATGCAAATGGCAGATAGAATGGTCTACGACGGCTACAAGGACGCGGGATACGAGTACGTCATCGTCGACGACTGCTGGTCTTACTTCTCGAGGGACTCCGCCGGCAAGCTCTTCCCGCACCCGCATCGTTTTCCCAGGGGCATGAAATACGTGGCGGACTACGTGAGTGGCCGTCGGCCAACGTTTTTTTTTGTTTTGTTTTGCGGACGCGCAAAAGTGTCGATTTTCCTTAGGGGGCTGCGTCGCCCTCAAGCGACAAACAGCGAACGCGCCCAACAGACATTTCCTATGCACCCCGTTACCAGATGTTGGTGAACAAACGCCGCTGCGTAAGATTTGCCGGGTTAGAAAAAGCGACTTATTTTTTGTTTTTGCCAGCATATGGAGTTTTTTGTTTGTGGCGCTAGTGGGGATGAGGAAAGCTGGTGTAGGCTTTGCACAACAATACACATATAAAACAAAATCCTTGACTCCTGCTCTTTTAGTACCGCCCAAATCCGTGGTACCTAAGAGTCATGAATTCCTCCATGGCTCATTTCTACCATAAATTTGGGCATGGTACCGAAAAGCCATGGAGAAATCCACGACTTTTTGTGCCATGGCCTTCTCACGCTGACAAAACTTTCTTATAGAAAACCATACTAAAATCTGAACTACTGAGAAAAAGCATTAGAACTACACTGGCCGTGGTGTCTGCTTGCGCCGAAAGATGGCATGGCATTCCACTATGTGCATTGCGAATACAAGGCTTGGTGCCGACTTGTGTGCTCTTGAACAGCCTGCCTGAAGTCAACAAAGAGTCGAAGGTCTCCCATGTTAAACCCAGTATGGTCTATCACCTTATGTTATACCCTTGCGATGGAAATATTAAAGGACATATGCAAGGGAAAGAAATTTATACAGCCTGAATCGAAAAGAATATAATAAAAGAAATTTACAACGAAAATAAAATATCTAGAGTTATATTTAGGGCGCGAGACGATTTTTTTTTAAAGCGAGGTGAACAGGCCCGGCCACACTAGCGTGGCGGCGTCGTGCCGCGCGCCGTCGGCTGCCGCGGGTTGCCGTCCAAAACCAGTTTTCGCCCTCAGCGGCTTGCCGACCGGCGCCGTCCGAGCAATTGGCTTGCGCACGGAGGGCTCGCTGTTTTTTGCCGCCGAAGGAAGAAGCCAATGGGAGATGGCGTAGATAGTGACGTTCCGGCGCCATGGCAACGCGCAAGCCGCTTCGCCGCGCGCCTTTCACGTTGCAAAGAAGCGTAGCGTCATTGTGTCTGCGATCCCTATTTCTCCCAATGCCTTTCCCAACGAAGCGGTGCTTCGAAACTGGACGAGCGTATAAATGGTGGACAGTTGTCGCAACCAATTCTATCACTCATTCTCAAAAGTGGCCTTCATCTCTGGCACGCATCCGCGGCAGCAAAGCACTGAGCCGTCCCTTAGTGACTCGGTAGCGTCAACTTGGCCGGAACAAGAACCTGCGGCTCCTTGGCTCCACAGCGCGGCGACGTCGCAAGACCTACGAGCAGGCTAGGATGATCCCATTTACGCTGATCTCCAGGTCATCATCGACGTTCGAGATGTAGGCAACGAGTGCGGTTTCGACGCTGAATTATGCGTAAGATGGGAGCCGAAACGTAAAAACTTAACGAAGAGCAGACGACGAAAGCGTGGGAAATCCGACAGGGGGCGCATGCGCGTGTCGAAATCTAGTGCTGTCATGTGACTATAATGCCGGCTAAACGGAGGCCAATGTGGCCCCCAACGGCGGTCTCTCGCGTTCAGACGCCAGACGGCGGTGCCGCCCGGCAGCGCCGTTGCCGCTAGTGTGGTCAGGCCACGGTCCTCCTTTTTACTTTTCTCTCTCGCGCCTGTGCGCTCCGCGGGGAGGAGAGGCTTGTCTTGGCTTGGCTGCTCGGCTGAAAAATGTACTCAAGCCTCGTGCAACTTCCTCTCCAGCGCGGCGCGCGCTGTGTTCTTGGGTTTTGGGACTGGTGGTGGTAGGAGTGGTAGTCTGCTTCTTTTGCGAAAGACCCAGAGTTGAAGCTTAGACTTCTGGACCGCATCAAGCAGCTAGGGCTTCGCCCACACAAGGACACGCCTCGAAGACCAGCGAACCTCCCCGCGGAAAGCTCCGAGGCCAGCGATGTGCCGGCGGGTCGTAAGACAGGTCGTATGAGTCATAACTGAAGTGTCGATTTTCTTATATTTGTTGTTTCTCCAACATAAAATACTTTGCTAAAAGAAGAATAGCAAGAAAAAAGAAACGAAGATTAATAGGTAGCTTTTAGAGTCCATAGGAAGCTCTCGAAATAACGCAAGCACCACGTGACTATTGTGGCCAGTCACGTGAATGCTAGCTGCCACTTTTCCGCGTGCTCCTGCGGGCGCCAAGTACAAAATGGTTTCATGCCGTAAATATAGCTGTAAAATATCTTTTCGTTGTAAATTAATTTTTTTTTTACATTATTTTTCCATCCCGACAATTGTCGCAATCCCTTTATGGAGTTCAGAAAGTTTCAGAGCCGGCATATCATGTATTTCTATCGGATCTCCGACCTCTTGAATATTTCCGGAATACAACACATAAAATAGGTACTTGTAAATATTTTTACGAGATCCGTGCTTCAAAGGCCGCATGGCCACGAGTTCAAGGAGGAAACTTGGCACGCGGCATTCGAACCGCACTGTTTTTGCATCTCCAGCCTTGCTTTCTCACCGCCGCAGGTCCACTCAAAGGGCCTCAAGTTCGGCATCTACGCCGACGTGGGCACGCAGACGTGTGCCGGTTATGCGGGCAGCCTCGGCAACTACAGTGTGGATGCGCAGACTTTCGCCGACTGGGGCGTCGACTACGTCAAGGTGGACGGTTGCAACGTGGACCCCGCAAAGATGGACAAGCGTGCGTTCAAAGCGCAGGATATTTTAAGTGCCCTCCGAACTAGACACGAGCCGCTCCGGTTTGTGTAGTGCACAGTTTTTGCTAGACTGTGCACGACAGAGTCTAAGTCCAGCGAAAACTCCGCTTCCGGTCTGCCTTGAAACGATATTTGTCCGGGTTGTGAGAACGACCGTCCACTTGTGTCCTTATGCCCAAGCCCCACCAGAGCGGCAAGCAGAAGCCAACGGCAGCTACGAGCCTCAAACCAGAGTCTTTCGCGATTGGACAGGCTTTGTAGGATAAAGGAGGCTATGCTGAAACACGAGCATCATGCACGCGAGGGCGTCTTTGGCAGACTTGCAACCACGCAAGCTTACTTCACGAGGGCCGAACGACTAAACGCCTGCCAAAAGGTACCATCGCGAGCATGCTGCATCTGTTTGAAGCTTGTCGCTGTCGTTTGTTTCTGTTTGTAGCTCTAGTGTGACTCGGACATTAGAAGCAGCTTATGAAATAAGTCCCAGGACGTAGCCACTCACGCCCTCTGTCAGTCAAGGGATCCGCGGCTGTTGTCAGTCCCGAACCTCCTGAAAACAAGAGAAGTGAGGAGATGATGACGAAGATGAGGAGGAAAGTCGAGCTGTTTCGCGTCCTGCAGCAGGGTTTATGTCCTCGTCGTAGTCGTGTGTGCCCCAAATCGTGCTCTTTTTTTTTTGCCGTTTTTGGCGCATGAAGTGTACTGTGTGTCAGTCCGTGTATTCGTCTAAGCGTTTTTATTCAGTTCCCTTCATTTGCCGACCGTACAGTTGCGGGCGATATGATAAAAAAGAAACCGAGCTGGTGTCTAGCTTCGGAGGCCTCCAATGCTATCTCACAGATAACAGCTGAGCTATACGAACAGGCCTGGCGCGCACGCTCGACATTTTAGGCTTCTGTGCGATTTTTTAGTCCTTCCCCCTCAGCCCGGCTGGTTATTCACCTCTAGTTTGAGTTAGAGAGGGTTGCAGAGAAAAACAAGCGGCTTGGTTGGCGTATGCCTGGATGTCGAACCAAGAAACGAAAATGAAAATGACAGATAATAAGTTAGACTATGTTGGGAGCTAAATCAGGCTAGTAGATCAGACTTAGTTTTATTTTTTTCTTTATCGTGCGCGTAATTTTGTATCGGTATAACTCGTCAAAAATAAATCTTTAACCCATCTAAAATAAGAAACTATATGAGGAATATTGATGTGTCGTGTTCATAACTAAAAATTAAGACTTTCATTCGGACAACGTGCCACTAAATGACGAAGAGCAATGCTGTCATATGCTTTATTGTTCCACTATACTCTCCTCAAGAACGCCCAGGAAACTGATAGAAATGACAGAGGACTGGCAGGCGAGCTGGTGAACTTACAACATCTTGAGCACCCGAGACTTTGGAACAAGAAAGTAGACAAAACACACACGCAGGTTTTGTGTTAAAGGTCCTGAAGGAAATTGAGTTTACTTAGCTGTCCTTGGAGGGAATGACGTGGGGTCTCAGCCTCTCAAAGAAACGACCACGGGGTCTTAATCACATACTTTTCCGCCTTCGGAGTTCCTCTAGGCTTCAAAGAAATGCTATTGCTTTCACAAACACATTTTCCTTTTATTCGTATCTCTTTAAAAACGAAACAAAAAAATATGAAACACCTATCAAGAACGAATAAAATAAAAAAGAAGGTTTCCATTGAAAAAAAAAAATGGTCCCGCAGATTATATAAAAAATTCGTCTCTAAAGCCGAATGAATTCCTTCTTGTGTATGGCATTTCATTACATGCGGAAACACAAACGAGAAAAAAAGTCTCCGATGACCTGCGTCGATGCATACAAATAATAACGGAAGATACGCGTTCAACGAATGTCGTTATTCGGAACGCTGTCGTGTACCACATTGATAAAAAATCAATTTTTTCCGGGAGTTATTCTGGCCCGAGTTAGAGACATATCTTTCCCTCTGCGATAGGTACATAGGTTCAAGTAACAGGAACCTTGGTCTTCTTTTCTCGGAATTTTTTGGACTTCTTTTCTCCGTCTCTTTTAAAGCATGTATAGTTCTTTTGCAAGGGAAGACCCTAATACTAAACATTGGTCCGTCCATTTGTCGGTCGGCGCATTTCCCCGAAAAATTCAACGGGTGAATTGACGCGACGTGACCTCACTTCACGTGACCTGTACACTACTTCAGCTTTCCCGCTAAAATAGCGAAAAAAATGACGTCACCTGACCGAAACCACACATCCGTTTCCTCGTTAAATTTCGCCGGGAATTCTATGTCACATGACCTAAAGACTATTCCGCAGTTTCTCCGTTTAACTTAGCGAGGAAACTTTGTGTGTTGGCTACATGACGTCAATTCCCCAGCTAAATTTAGAGGGAAAAAAAGAATAAATACTGCATTCTATACATTGTAGGACTTTAAAATTTCTTTGTAAGTAAAGGTCGGTGTGAATTTTTAACGCAGTGGTAAAATATTAAAAAAACGCCAAAGGACGAGGCCGAGTAGAAAACACGAATGACATATGATCCTCGTTTCTTTTCCGCTTTTTAACCCTTTACAACGATGAACCAACTCGCCTTAACAAACAATTTTAATTCTAACGCAGAACGTGTTTTATCGGCGGATTTCCGGGAGAAAGCCGCCAGGAACGACCGTCACGTCAATTTTCTCGCTAAATGTAGCTTAAAATTTTTTCTCAAGCGACGTCACTATAGCGGCTAAATTAAGCAGAGAAATTGGTGTCATGGGACTCACGTGACGACAATTTTTTGCTAAGTTTAGCGGGGAAATTGACGTGACGCGACCATGTCATGTTAACCTCAATTCCTGCGAGGTAGTGGTTTGCGCTCAAGGAAAAACAGTCTGTGTTCCCTGGCCCTTGTCAGCATCAAGAAGCTCGCGTAATTTTTTTGTTTGTTTGTTTTTGTTTGTGGTCTTCTTAACTTGGCTCTGGCGGCGTGACGCAGTGTATCCGGAATTCGGAGAGGCGATCCTGGCCACGGGGAGGCCCATGGTTTACTCGTGCGAATGGCCCCTCTACCAGTTGAGCGTCGGCATCGAGGTGAGCCGCCAGCTTTCCATCTCCCGGCAAGTGCATACGGGGACATTAGGGTAGTTTCTAAGCGGCGGTCGCACTGCACGATAAAGCCCCCCCCCCCCCCTCCCCCGCCCTCGCCTCGCCCCCCCCCCCCCCCCCCCCCCCCCTCCAAGCTGTTGGCCGCAGACATGGCGAAAGACGTTTACTTCGTATAGGTATACGTCTGCTAGCAGTTTTTGCACGCCGAATGTGACAGGACAGTCCTGCGAGAAAGTTTGCACGCAAGTGCACACATACACTTGTACGCACGCACACATGTGCATACAAGTGTATGCGCACTTGCATGCACACGTGCAGGATTATTGCCACCGTGTTTCTTTCTGTATATATGGTGTATGGGTGTGAATATACGGTTTTGCGCTGACTCGTTCACATTTAGGCGGACGGGACACCGTCACGTGACGTGGGGCTGTGACGTCACTCGACGTGGCCCCATGTGACACTGTGACGCCATTACATTTTTTATTATCCACTAAATTTAGCGGATAAATATTTCAGCTAGAGTTAGGGGGTGGGATTCGTGAAGTCCCCGTGACACCTTTACTTCACGCAGCACGATGACGTCACTTGACATTATGACGTCGCGCGACGCCATGATGTTACGTGACACTAAATTCCCGCTAAATGTAGCGGATACGTTTTCCCACTAAATTTAGCGGGAAACCCGTGGAATTTAGGTGACACGGCGATTTCTCAGCTTTTGATGATCAATCTAGCCACTGGGGTACGCCCGCACGCACGCACGCACCAATTTTTTAATGAAACAGAGCACATGCGCCCCCGTCATTCACTGGTGGTCATAGCTGAGTTTGTGGCTGCTGAGCGCGAGCTGATGGCGAGTATCCACAGTGCTTTTTCAGCGTGCATTCCACACCATCAAGATTGCCGGCCTTGGCAGCCTTTACGTTTGAGCTGGTTCTGAGCATGCGAAACAGCGCACTCAATTAAATGTGAAATCCAGTGAATACCCTTCATCATCATCATCATCAATGTTTATTCACGTAAAGATGTACAAAGAAATGTCTGATTAGTCATCTGGATCCATAGCGTACATGGCTAGTAATGGATCCATTAAAAAAACATTCACATTTAAAACAATCCTATAGGCATTCACACAATCTATACATAGCTGCACAAATAATATAACTACTAGTACGGAGTTAACAGGGTGAGTTGTACACTTCAGATGAAATAAATCGTTTTAATGAGAGTACAAAATTTGTTGCTAGTTTTATATTACATGAAATGTTATTCCATATCTTCGCACCAATGAACGATATTAAGCGGCGCCCGTAAGCATTGTAAGTTATCGGCAAATTAAGGTTATTATAATGTAGTTGTCGGGTTTCACGTTTTGGAAAATTGAATATAGAAGAGTGATATGGAGTATTCTGGGTTAAAATTCTTTGGACTAAAGTGGCAGTCTTATGGTCGCGAAAAGAACAAAAGAAGAAAAGTTACACCTTTTTTAACAGCCCATATACCTGTGAACTTTTTACATAGTCTTCAGCATGGGCTTAAAATTAGGGCTGGGCAATTGATCGATTAACCAAATTCCGATTAATCGATTAAGGCTTTAATCGCGATCAAACTTTTTAACCGGTTAATCGGTTTTTTAATCGGTACTCAAAAAGAGGTCAACTGGACGCACACATGGCTTTATCCTGCACTACCTGCCCGAAATCATATCACATGAGCGAATGACGTTTTAGCGAACAGCAAAATTTGAGCGAATCGACGTTTTCGGAAATAACGGGGGCGCGCGTTAACCCATCCGCCGCGCTGCGCTTACGCCGCTTCGCGGCGACAGTCTGCGGCGGCTCATTACAAAAATTTGACCCCATGCACTTGGCCCACCTGAAAACGCCGCTTCGCGGTGTCCGACTATTCGCTAAAGTGCCATTCGGTGAAACGTGGGCGTTCGCTAAAACGTCATTCGATCAAGTGAGTGCCTCCCGTCCCGAGCGGTGCTCCGTTCCCAGTCGGGTGCTATGAGCAAGGTTCAATTTTCGCGCTCGCGAAGCGTCAAGTGGTCGAGGATATACATTACAGTTCTGCCGAGGCCAGACGAACAAGCCGGGCCCGCAATTGATGCCCGCGCAACCGTGAAATTTCACGTGTTAAGGATCTGTTACACACCCTGCCCAGGCAAGACGCACAAGCGGAAAAACAAGCTGGGAAGCTAACAACGCCATTGATGCCATGGTTACTTGTTCCAGTATTCGGCACGTAAAAATGGACGAGTTAACGCTGGAAAGTTTGGGCTTAATATCAACTCCAGCATGAAGTTGTTGACTCGAAGGAAGTCAGAAAAGCTGTTTTCGTACAGTGGAAGCGTAAGTTCGCTTCAGTATCACCTACGAGCGAAGCACCTATGTACGCCGCTGCAGCAAGGACCATCCGAAAAAAAAAAAAAACACTTTGTCTTTGGAACTGGAGCAAAAATGTGTGTGCCTTTGAATCGTTGAACTATATATGTATCCTCAATTCTAAATGTCCCTTGCGCCGTGTAACAGAGAGTAAAATAAGTCTTCAAAGTTCAAAGGCAAGACGAGTTGTTGCATTCTTTTTAATATATTATTTATAAAAATCGATGCAACCAAATGATCGATTAATTAATCGATTAAAGGGTGGCGATTAATCGGGTTAACATTTTTAATCGACGCCCAGCCCTAGCTTAAATGTATCCTTTGCTGTGTCTCGCCTTAAGCCAAACTACACAAGGATCGCCGCCACGTGCAACCTGTGGAGGAATTACGCCGACATCACTTACGCCTGGAACCAGATCTACAGCACGGTGGAATTCCAAGCCAGGCATCAGGACATTCTGACTAAGGTGTCCGGACCCGGCGCGTGGACGGATCCTGACATGGTAAGCTCACGCAGCGCTGTACTTCGTTTCAACGTAACTTGGAAACGAGCAGTCGCCACGGCCCCTCATAGCCAATCAGAGCGACGGAGGTGCACCACGTGACAGCCCCTACCAAAGGTACAAAGGGCGACGGCGTAGCCCAAACAGTTGGAGACGTGGGGAAGGAGGAACTTTCCTCGTACCCTCGGGTGTGTGTCCCAGATGTAGCCCGTCACTGAAGCATTCGCGTAAAAGCGGCGTTCGCCCCTCTCTCTCCCGTCCGTGGCTTTGACGGCATTGTCAGTGACAGGTTAAGAGCTCAGGGGAAGCTGCTCTCACATGTCCACTTTAGCAGAGCGAACAATGTAGTGGAGGCGACATCCTCTCCAGCGTTCGCTCTGCTGAAGTGGAGAGAGATGGGAGGAGCCTCGTGTCACGTGTCTCCCTGCGACGCACTGATTGCCTCACTATGACCGCAGCGTTCGCCGTTCGCAAAATTACGTTGAGACGGAGTACAGGGAGTGCGCTGTTTTAGTAGACACTATGGTCATTGACGGATTAATGCAGGGAGTGGCTCATGGTGTTCACACTTCTTGCTTCGTGATTGGCTGTTCGACATTCTTATCTGCGAATGTCTAACCTTATTGGCTGCGCAGTGATCATAAGGTGTACGGGATTCGCCGCAGCTTCACATCCAGACGCCAGAAGCTGGCTGCTGTGAAGAGAGCCTAAAACACAAGTGGGAGAACAATAACTCGCGTTCTCGACAGATGGCAGTACGTGCGCGTGCACCGCCTAACGCTGCCAGGTAAAATGCGCTAGACTAAGATCGCGAAAAATCACATTGGCAGTTTTCGAGTTTTGCTCTTGCAAATTAACGTAAAAGGGAACCTTTTTGTTTTCTTTCTTCATTACTGCTTTGGTCTATGCCTAACACAAGATCACATTGCTCTAAAACGGTAGTCCTGATTGGAGTCTCCCAACTCGGAAATAAAATGAAGAAAAATCGTCGATCGTCTTCGCGCTAACTGTGACGCAGTCTGTAGATGTCGCCCTCCATCTACGTAAACGGTTCAGGTACAACATCGAGCTCCATGAGATGGCGATTCCATAATCGCTGGAACCACCAATGGATGGTGTATTTTTTCGGAGGAGGGTTGACGAACAGATTCTCATTGTTTTCGCAAAAAATATACCACTTTTTATTTTTTTTTAAAGGGGGGATTTTTCGCAATTAGCCAGTTCGTTTCATCTTACGTACGGAGTCGGACGCAACCGACGCTATGAGCTGATGGGACAAATGAAACAGTGCCAAAAGTGCAAGTCATTGGGCATTCCTTGCGATTGACTGGTTCAGCGACGATAGAACCACGTACAGAAATAAGAGGATCACCAAGGTGGTACGCTTGTGATCCTGTATGATTCGTCCCACCAACTCGTAGCGTCGTTCGCGTCGGGACTTACGGTAAAACGAAGTATGCATTTGCAACTTTGCAGTCTATGTGCTTATGTTACTTTTTATTATGCAATTCTCTATTTGATTTTTTTGAGCGTGACAATGTGCTTGTGCTCTTTTATTGTTTTACATTTCGTTATATGTAAACTTTATATTACGCCCCGCTCTATGTAATGCCTCTCCGGGGTATTTGAAGGTACTTAAATAAATACACAATTGAATGCGAACAAAGCCACTGAGATTGTCGCGAAAGTTTAAAGTCACGAGGCTCATGCTTTCAAGGTGTGGTGTGCTTTTGAGCTTTCTTCCTAAGGACGTTTGTGTAAGAAAAGCTTCTTTTGAAAAGTCGGAATGCTTTATTACGGGCTTCTACAAACTCTTTTTCTGAGGAGCCGGATTGGGGGCCTGTCGGAGTCTTGAGTGCAAGTAAATAGATAAGATTACATAAATGAGGAAATACTAAATAAATAAGCCTAAATGAGCGACTGAATAGAACAATGTAAACTAGTGCGTGAAGTGAAAAAAGGAGAAAAGAACGTAAAGTACATGAATACATATACTTTATTTTTAAACACAATATATTGCTATCGATCACATTACAAATACTTGTCACCCAGAACTCATCGGGCATAAATCAAAGCGCCTATAAACTTTGGCATATTAACACCGGGCAGAAGGAGGCTGATGGGAATCCTCGCTCTGCTGATGGCAATATGCGATAGTATGACACCGACCTTTGCTAAACATACCCGAAACAAAGAAGTACGAATAGTAATGCTAATGATGGCATTGTACAACGCATATTGCGGCGAAAAAACCCGCGGTATGATGCAAATTTTCTGTCATTATTTCTTAAATCTTCGCTCGCTATTTTTAAGCGCGTCGCAACGCCGCTCCCCCCCCCCCCCCCCCCCCCTTTTTTTCCGGCTCTTTTTGTTTTTATACAGGCTTATTTTTTTTTCGTTTGATGCAGCGTGCCCGAGCGTCACTGGAAAGACCCAGGCCAGCAGCAGGCCGGGGTTTGGAGACCCCTTCTTTAGCAGATAGCATGCAATCTCTACCTATTAGCCGAACTACCTTGATTGTTTGTTTTCAGGTTGTCATCGGCAACTATGGGCTCGACGTGGCGCTGCAGCGTACGCACATGGCCTACTGGGCCATCATGGCGTCTCCATTGCTCATGTCCAACGATCTGCGGCACATAAGCGAGGAGTCTAAGGCCATCCTCCTGAACAAGCATGTCATCGCTGTCAATCAGGACAAGCTCGGAATCATGGGAAAACGAATATCGAAGGTACGTTATACATATTCCCTGAAAACAAAGTAATTTCTTTCCCCCAAGGGTGTCTTACAATAGCCGCAAATGAAGAAGGACAAAACAAAAATGGCAATGCAGCAACATTCGGATTTGTTGTTTACATACTTAGGCAGCGGGGAGTTCGTTTGCCTCAAGGGGCCTTAGTGCCTCCGCTGGGAAACGTTGTCACTCCAGCCATGGACTATACTTTCACGGTATGTCTCCATGTCCATGGGAACATACCACGGAAATGTCCATGGTACTGACCATGGACTATACTTCGCTTCAGCTCAAGTCTAGACGCAGCCGACACTACGAGCTAGTGAAACCAATCGGTCAGCGTCAAAGGAGCACCATCATGGTGTACTATCGGGGAAAAATGAAATGCGAACAGAGGAGCTCGTGGCTCGCGGTACAGGCTGCGCCGCCTGGAAGTGAACCTAGGTGCGAGGGTGCGTGGCCTACTTCGATGTGTTCACGCCCCTCGATTGGCGCTCCCCCAGCTTCGGCAGTGCGCCTCCCGGTGCACTGAAAGCTGTCACCGCTATCTTTGCGTCCTCGGCGAGTGCGGCGAGCTTCTTGCACCGCACGCGCTGAGCCAGCCAAGATAGCGGTGATAGCTTTCAGCGCACTAAGAGGCGCTCTGCTGAAGCTTGGGGAGCGCAGAGGGAGGGACGTGAACACGTAGCAGTAGGCCACGCACCCTCGCTCCTGGGCTCACTTCCAGGCGGCGCAGAATGTACCGCGAGCCACGCGCTCCTATGTTCGCATTTCATTTTTCCCCGATAGTACGTCATGTTTATGTACGTGTCCTATTATCGCTGAACCAATTATAATTTTTTTTTAAGAATCCAGTGACGCGCTTTTGACGCGGCTCGATCGGTCCCATATTGGCGCATAGCGTCGGCTGCGTCTGGACTTAAGCTGAAACGAAGTCTAGTGATCACATGATCGCACGCCAGCACGTGCTCGTTCAGATCGAAACGGGCAAGGTCACATGGAAACGAGGAATATTCCCTGTGTTCTGCAGAGTGGACGTAAAATCAATGAATGTAAACAAAACGAACGGGCAGGAAATCGGTCGTTCTATCATTGTTTCCAAAATATCATCACCGACAGTAGTAGGTTCGAGTGCACTCCAAGCACTGGTAGGCACATGTGTTGCCACACGGGATGCCCTGTAAGAATCTGTATGTTTTCTGCACGTCGGAAGTACACTAGAAGGAACTTCGGAAGACTAAGAGAGTGTTTTTGGGAAGTGCAATACTGACAGCCGCTCCTATAAGGGGAGATTCAATCGTCACACTCCTAATGGCTAATTTGACAACTGCAGGGATGGGGACAACAACGATATGAATGATTTGCTCATTGCGCCACTCCGGTAACCGAACGCTGCGTTAGCTTTCGGCTAGGACTCGTGTTTGATACACCGATTGAACACCCAGCCGAATTCTGGCGCAGCACTCGTGTGTAGTCTATGGCCCGCACTCGATCGAGGAAAATAACGAAATAATCGTGTACATCGGTCTTGGGTTCGGTAAACACCAAGCCCTATAAAGAAGATGATGATAATGATCACGATGCTGGTGATGATCATCCTGTTCACTGGTCTTGTGTCCCGTAAACATTAAGCTCTATAAAAAAGATGACGACGATGGTGGCGATGATGATCTTGCGGCTCTTTAAAACGGGCGGGCTTGAACTGAGTTTATGCCCAAGCCTGGGAACTAGTGAATCTTAATGGCACCCAAAGTGGACGAAGTGAACTTTTTCCACCAGTCCTCTAGCCTCTTTTAGGTGGTCGCTACGGTGCGCCTCTGCAGGAAGCTGTCAAGCTGAACAAAGCACCCCTACAGTTCGATCTCCTTTCTAATTTTATTTGCTGTCATTTTATTGCAGTACTCTACTGTGTAACGCGTTTTGAGCGTGCGAGCTCTCTTTCACGAAACATGAGACGCGGGAATGCCTCCAAAGCCCAGTTGCTTAGCCTTTTTCGCCTGCGTGATAAAGCTACGAGTGACGCAGCACTATTCAATTCGAACCACTATTCACACATTCCTTCATCCGCTGAGAGCTCAAGAAACGTTGAAAAAAACGTTCACGCACGTCACGATTGGTCCTTGGACGTTCAAATCGGCTGATGCCGCAACCTAATTGGCTGCGGAGGTATAATGATATGCACAGGACCCGCCGTGCCTGGCGTTTATTAGGCTGTCAGTGCCCACAGTATTTGCTTCAAATGAACAAACGCTTTATTCTCGTTCCCGCCTCTTTCAGGTGAAAGGCGTCGACATGTGGTCTCGATGGATCGGCCCGAGGCTGCCGAACGGCAAGGCGTCGATGGCCGTCGTGGTGCACAACAGTAACCTCCAGGGAAGCCCCATGAAGACGGTCATCTTCATCTCTGACCTGGGATTGGACAATCCTAGGGGATACGTGCTCTCGGACCTGTTCAACAACAACGCTACCATAGGCCTCTTCTACCCTGGCATGAACCTGACGGTCGCCGTGCCGCCCATGGACGTCTTGATGTTCAAGGCAACCATCACCGATCGATGAGCTGTTGCAGGTTGAGGAAGACTGACGTGGTTTTCTCACCTTACAAACAATAAACCCTAAAATGTGTACATTCACGATTCAGATAAAAATGGTTTTAAAGAATACATATTAAGGTTGCAACTGAGTTTCTAACTGAGTTTCTTGTGCAGGCTGGTGCGGCCTTTCGACAGGTGCACACACTGGCACGCTGGCACTGGCACACTGGCACGCTGGCAAAAAATTGGCAACAATACCAGACCAACAAATTTACCGAACTTCGACGAGAATGAATCGAGTAACAAGTAATTCACACCATGGGAAGGAGGCGGCGATAGTGAAAGGAAGAACCAAGAGCCCACCCAGTAAAAATCAATGGAAGCAAGATTTTGAACTTACCTACAGAATCTAAACAGAAAATACTCCAACGAATCCAAGAAAATATGAAACGCAGCAACAATACCAGATAGCTGGAAGTAATTGTGTGTGGCACCGTTTTACAAACCAGGATAAGAACCAACGTCACCGCAAAGCACGAGCTCAATATCACTAATATCAACACTGTGTAAACTAATGGAGATAATGGTACCCGCCCGAATAAACTGGCTAATGGTATAAAAAAAATTTTCCATGGCATGAACCGGTTTAGGAAACACATCCGAGCAAATAGTCCTCTATTAATTCACTCGGGTGTTCTAAAACACACGGCAAAACATGGTCAGCTACTAGATATCAAAAAGACTTACAATTCACTCCCTCACCAAGCAATCCTGAACAGGCTCAAGGCCCAAAGAATACAGGTTAAGCCACTGATTTTTGTTAAGGTATTTTTTAAAGATAAAAAGTACGGAATAAATGTAGGCCAAAACTAACGACATTTGGGTACGTCAAAGATCGGTATTATCACCGACCCCGTTCAACCTAGTAATGGCTCCATTACTATGACATAAGAACTCAAGGAAACGGAGGAATTTCACTATATGGTTATGCTGATGTCTGATGACCGGATCCACCAGACATACCAGAAAAACACTTCACAAAGCATTAGATCAGGTCGATGATCATCTATAAGAATAGGACACAATCCGTCACCCGAAAACACCTGATACACGATATTCGGCTGCAAGGCGAGTTCCAATGTAATACTAAAATTCGACAGATAAACAATTGAAAAATCAGAAGACCACCAGAAAACGTGCATAATGACCAACGTCAGTAACGACCCAATCAAACGGATACAAATAATTACCGAAACATGTAAACAAGGAACATCTCTAATCAGAAGAATATGGCGGACAGACTTGGAGGGGCGTGAGAAAAAGTGGCTCGAATGTTTACTAAAACTGTGCTATCATGCAGGGGCTAATATTTCGCAGGGCTACCACGAAACGTAAAAATCGAGTAGAACTACACAAATGCATTCCATTCCGAAGTTTAGAGGAACTGCAAAAGAAACAGGAAGAAACACACATAATCAAGATGATGAACACTAAACTGGAGCGACAGATTGTGGATCTGCTAGACCAAGACACGTGCGCACTGGAACACAATTTACAGCACAGATACTACCATGAGAACGGATAACGATAGTTACATACATACCCATTCCTAACAGCATGGTCCCTGGGCATCGGGAAAGAAGACCCTACGCCTGAAAACAAAACGAAAAAATTGAGCTCACCAGTAGCGACCCTGAGGTAGGGATAAACTACACGGACGCAGCGGTGGGCGGGAACAACGCTGCGATGCCATTGTTGGACAAAGGCACATGAACGTCACCAACGTCAGCAGACATTCCGGAAGAAGATGAAGCGCAAGTCATTCAACTTGCGATAAAACACGCAAGCAGAAATGCGCCAAAAAAAAAAGAAAAAAGAAAAAAAGAAGAGAAGCGTAGCCCTTCGTTACAGACTCGCAAGAGGTCATCAGTGCATCTAAGGCGTAGCAAGTGGTAAGCCTGACAGTACGAAAAGTACTGAAAATGGCTATAAAAATACAGAAGAACGAGAACATACTCCTGCGTTGGATATCGGGAAACACGGGAATTAACGAAAACGAGATTGCTGACAAAGCAAGCCTTCCATGGGACTGTAGAAACTTCGAAAAAGAAAGGGATGAGTCTCTTGACCCCCAATGCATATTAAATAGTACAGTTGTTTCATTCTTTTCGACAACGCGAACCAATCTCAACAAGATATCCCGTTGAAGCAAACGGTTGGAGTAAGGAATACCACCGAACGGTCATCATAAACAAGGCGAAGAGGCAACTAGAGGAGAAAATAGACATCCCGAAGAACATGACTCAATTTTTTTTTGGATTCAGCAGATATCAATCAGTTCTCTTGAGAAGGTATAAGGAGCGTCTGCCCACCGCCCCGCCTGAAGAAATGGGTGACACAAGAAAATATTACACAAAATCGCGCCAGAAACAGCAGGATGTACTATCGAGACCAATATGAGCTAAAACGCCGCTCCGCGTGATGCGCGGTGTATACTGTCAGATCAGATCCACCTATCGCATTTTTCTGCAAACTGATTCACGCTGTGGCCAAAACTACTCCCCTCTGGCGCGCGTTGCGCCACTCTGCACTACCTTGTCGTCTGCTACTTATACGGCAATGTTAAACTGTGGCAGGACTGTATGGATGGACGCCTGGGTCGCCAGATCTTACCGAATAAGCTTCCGCTCTAATTGGAAAGTGTTCACCAATACAGATCCGACGAGCTAGCGCTTTTCCTGGTCCCTTTTAGCGATGTATCCCCAGGTCGATCTTACTGTATGCATGAATTATCCGATTTACGCTCGCTATCGATCTTCTATGTACTGTCGCCCTTTGCTATTACTTCTTAATGATCAGATGTTTAACGCACTTCCATCGGCACTGTCGAATTTTTTTTATTATGTCTCTGGCAAATAGAGAAAATCATCTGTGTTTGAGCAACTCAACGGCGGCCCGATGATTACGTGATCATAGGTCCGGGCTTTGCAGAAATTGTTTCGAGAAAGTTTCCGATAAAGTTATGTTGTGTCATACATAGGTTTTACACTTCGAGTAAACGAAGGGGTCTCGCCTCCACATCCTGGTAAGCAGACGACAAAAAAAGAAAAAAAGTGCAGAGCGGTGCAACGAGCGCCAAAAGAGAGTTGTCTTCGCGTCTGCGTGAGACACAATTTGTAGAAAAAAAAGAAAAAAAAAAAGAAATTATACGCAAAAGGTGAGTGTTCTATCCGATGGATGGCGAAAGTGTGCCCTCGTCGTTTCTCGTCATCGCAAGGCTGCTCAATGCTGCACGACAAACTCGGTTGCAGCCAAACGCCGGTGTCTACATCGCCCTTCGCGTAAGTATACCTAAGGTCGAAGTTTCTTTATGAGATATACTTTTACAGCTTAAAAACTTGCGAAGTGCCAAAAGACTGGAAAGTAGCTAAAGTTCTGCCAATTCATAAAAGTGGAAATAAAAAGTGCGTTTTGAATTACAGACCTGTCTCCTTGCTGAGCACATGCAGCAAAGTTCTTGAACATTTTTTCTTTAAACACATTGTAACTTTTTTAGTATCCGCAGAATTTTTGGTAAAAGATCAACATGGGTTCAGACGTGGTTACTCAACAGTTACTCAGCTTCTCTATACATTCCATGAATTAGCTGCTGCAATGGGTAACGATGGCCAAGTGGATTCTCTCTTCTTAGATTTCGCGAAAGCCTTCGACAGGGTATCGCATCGGAAAATACTGTTCAAACTTAAGCAGATACTCGATAACGATTGCCTTTTACGTTGAGTTGATTCCTATCTTACGAACCGTCGACAGTACGTGACTTTTGGGAAAGCGGAGTCTGTGGATTTGCCAGTTCTGTCAGGAGTACACCAGGGCTGCTCGGTACTCGGTCCTTCGTTTTTCTTAGTGTTTATAAATGACCTGCGTGTAAATAAGCCCTGGATTCAGTGCTGTCTTCTCGCCGACGACTGTGTTTTGTTTGCCAAAGTCTCATGCACTTTCGATCTATTATGTTAGGACAGTAGCCTACAATCTGTGTTCTCCTGGCGTCAAGCATGGCAGATGGATTTGAACGTAAAAAAAATGCCTGCAAATGACAGTAGCACTAAAGAAGTCTCCAATTTTGTTTTGCTATTCTATCAACTCAGTACCGTTAGAAAGTGTCACTTCTTATAAATATTTGGGTATTACCATCGCATCTACTTTAACCTGGTCTGTTCACTTAGAGAACATTATAGCAAAAGCGTCTCGTAAACTGTGGAGTCTTCGAAGGACTATGCGACATTGTAGTCCGGAAACCAAGCTTGTTGCGTACACTACTTTGATCCGTCCATTCTTGGAATACGCGGACATTTTATGAGACCCGTATTCACAGTCATTGATTGAAAAACTTGAGGGAGTACAAAAAAAAGGCATTGCGATTTATATATACTGCATACGGCATGCATACGTTTGTGTCATGCCTTTATGCGTTATCCGGATTAATCCAGTTTTCGACCCGCAGAAAAGTGAAGCGTCTGAAGTTTTTGGATTGGAATGAAGTTCGAAGACTATCTGGTGTACAATCTCGGTCGAGTCACACGGCAGAAGCATGAAAATCTTCGAGATTTTCAATGTAGAAAATACATTTTTAACTACCGTTTTTTTTTTAGAACTGACCAAGACTGGAATGGCCTGCCTCACAACATTACAGGCAGTGCCATTTTCAACCCGTTTGTCAGCGCCTTAGATGAAGTTTTAAATCCATTTGACTAATCATTGTTAAGTGTTACCTCTGTTTATTGGGAAGCGCCTGTGTTTATGCCTTCCACTTTTTCTCAACTATGTTTTTTGAAGCCATGTATATCTAGAGCTATGCTTTTGCATATGTCACATATGTACTCACGTGCCTTGGCCCACAAAAGTAGGCCGGGACTATTATTCAAATAAATAAAAATAAAGCATAGGTGTGCCCGTCTGTCAACTCTTCTATGACCAATAACTGCCTAAAAAGCGCAGAGTGTGGCTTATGAATGCTCACGTTCCTTGCTTCGTGATTGGCCCTCCTTTGCCCTTACCGGCTTATGCCGCTCTCTTATTGGTTGGTGAGCGATAATGAGAAGCTTAAATTTCGCCATACCCTGCGTTTTTTTTAAGGTGTCAGTGACTATACAAATGATGCGAATAGCGGGAGCCTCAAGCATGGTTCAGGGACTTATTGCGTGTTCCTTGAAAGGGCGTCACGCAGTGCTTCCACAACGTTTAGCCGTTTCGGAGTGCCCAATGCAGGACTTCATCCCCCTGGCCCTCATGTTCAAAGAACAGTAGACGTAAATTGCGGTGGTTGTTTCGGAAGAATCACTTTTAAATTTGCAAAAACTATTCGGAGTAGACTTGAGGCTGGTTCACACACTTGCGATCGACTCCGACCGACTCCGACCGACTCCGATCGGCTCCGACGCGACAGTTGTTTAAGCCGCTTACAACTACCATCGCTGCTGCGCGGCCCGCTGTAAGCAGCCACAATTGGATTAAAAGCAGGTTTTGTTAGAGTCAGTCGTAGCCGGTCGTAGCACTTTAGGCACACTGCCCTGTCGCAGCACACCCGAAGGACCAATCATGAAAGATTTCCACGAAAAGAAATCTTCCAATCACATGAGCGTCATTGTTGAAGTCTGTGCCGCATTATCGGCGATGTCCGCCGATGACATCTCGTGACTAACCATCGCCAAAGCGTTCGTAATTTGTTTCGTTTTGTGTATGCTATTGGAACTAGATGAAAACCAGAACAATAAAAAAGTAAAACACCCAGTCGCACTTACCTGGTGCAACCGCGACGTCTTCTACGTAGTGGTGTCAGTAACTATTATTTTATTTTTTTCACAAGGCGATTTAGTAGTTGCCGACCAGGCTAGGGTATTCTTTGCTGAAGTGGAAGATAAAAAGAGTAATTTAAGACGGCACAATCAGCGAAGTTGTCTCGGTACAAATACGTCGTCAGTTTTGCGCGTCCACCGACTCGGCAGTCTTAGGCCCTCTTCATTTTGTCCACGTTAACGGGTGCTCGGTTTTCGCTGCTGCCTTCTTCTCAAGCGTTCTGTTCTGTTGGTGAGTACGGTCTTCATCTCCCCACTATCTGAGACGAGTTAGTCTATAGACCCTTTTCCGAATTCGGTGCCATCTAGTTGCACCAAAGACAGTTTCACTTTCGACAAACTAATGTCGGCCATGAAACTTCATTTCATCGGGCACCGTCACTTTGGCATGTCAATGGCAGATGATATTTGTTTTTTCGATCAGCTCATACTTATTTCTCGATTTGTTTTAGTTTCAATAGTGTAAACGTTAAAAAAACATACTAGTACAAAGGGGCGGCCCTGCCCCTTGATTAAATTTCCACCGTCAAGAGGCTTTAGAGCAAACTTGTGCCAAAAGATCAATTTGGCCTCATTCTGAAAGAAACGTTTTCTCAGCCGTGGTATATAATTCCTGCGTCGTGTTGTTCCGACGTCCAGAACGCGCATAGCCCCAAATATCATCCGCTCGGTAGCATCTTCGACTGCTTCCTTCGTCAGCCTTAAAGGCCGACGTACACTTCGCACTTTCCACTTTTGCTCGCCTCCTCCTTTCCTACATCCTCTCCACTTTTTACCTTGCCCCAACTTGGCTGCCCTCGCAGCTTAGGAGAGGGGAGCACTATGAGGATTATCTTTCCTGCAGAAAACCGAGGTTGGTACGTTGGCCAAGGCCCTATTATTATGGCAAAGATGCCACACACTGACAGATCATAGTTGCCAGACTGAATTTCGAGAAGGGTCTGTTATGTCGCCAATACCCTATCGGTGGCAGATATGGCGGCACTCGATTTTTCATTGGGGCGAGACGTTTTATGATGAAAAACTTTGGAGTTTTAGAATAGGGGAAACCTGCGTTTGGGGGCTTTCGAACAGCTTGGGAAGGCGCAGTGAGCATGCGCAGTGCGACGCCCCAAGCCTTCAGAGGACGCAAAGCTTTGGGTCCCCCTACTCTAGAACTCTCCATATTGTCCTGTGCGTTCAGGGTGCCTCCACTCTAAAGTCGAGTTCACGCATGATTCGAAACTGGTAACCCAACGATATAGGCGATGACAGGTTAAGAGGAAAGTGGCAGCTCCTTCCACTTCTTTCCCTTTTAGCAGAGGGAATACTGGACGATATCAGCGACATGTATAGACAAACTCAACTCTCTGACGTCACTCCAATGCGGTGGCGCTGCTGTAGGCACTGTGCATGCGCGGGTCCTTCGCCTCGGGCGAATCAGGTTTCTGCTTTAGTTTCTGCGCGCGCGCAGTGCCTTGCCCGGTGGGCAAACCGGGCTTGTTTGTAAACAGTGTGTTGGTCGATAAAGGCCTGTTCACACATGCAGCGCCGAATTGGCACTGAAAGAGACGTGCTGTGCAGAGTTGTCGGTCTAGCAGGAATGCGTCGGCGCTGTATATATCGCTGCTCACCACTGTGAAACAGCACGTCGGTGATAAGTCACGTGCAAGCCAGAACTCCGTGAGCTCTGTTTTAAAAAGCGCCGATTCGGCCCTGCGCCGTATGTGTGAATCAGCCTCTAGGATACTTCGTTTCATCTTGCGTCGAGACGCAGCCGACACTACAAGCTAATGGCAACCGTCACGGTCTTCGTTACGTTTCTGTACGTGTTCCATCCTCGCTGAACCAATCACACGCAAAGAAAAAAAATATGCCAAGTGATTTTCACTTTTGACGTTGTTCGACTGGTGAAATATGCCGAGGTCAGACTGCTTATTTATCACACAAAAGACAGCCAGCGTAGAGATTCGAACGCGAGTCCCCGCGCTTTGTTATTCATCAACTTTTGGGCTTCCCCGAGGACGATCTCTTTGACGGCAAGTTCCTTTGTTTACTCCACTACGAGAGCAAGCTTGCCAGCTCAGCCCTAGGTGCTCCGGTACGTTTGATTTTTTTAATCGGCTTTCGAACGTTTGGCAAATACCGATTCGATCTCCAAACACCCGACATAAGGATCGCAGCACACCATAAAACACTCGCCCCCGAGCACAGCGTACATAATTCAATATTCTTACTTTGGTGCGTTTCTCCCATAGACTTGCGTGTCTTGCCTGGTGTCAACCAATGGCCGCCAGTGACGACACCGACGTGCTCCCGATCCGCGATCCAGCTATACTATACAATAGAGATCAGTGGGCGCGACTCCATCACAGTTCCCATCACGCATCCAAAAGTGCTCACTCGTGGCGCTGGCGTTTCTGGAAAGGTCCGTTGGACTGTGATTTAGCACGCGTTGACTATGCGTTTTTTTGTAAACAGTGGAAACGTCTGGCACGCGCTGCCCACGAGCGACATCTTTTGGGTGGCTGGAAGATCTGGGTATGGCATTAACGACTGAATGGTGGTTTTTTTTCTGTGTTTCTCTACGTTTAGTTACATCTCCGGAGGAAACCAACATGATATTCAAATTCTCGGGATACAAATACACTAGAATTTCCCTCTAACTAGTTTTTCGTGATCGTTTTTTTTTAGGGCTGCATTATACAAAAGGCACACTTCGTTCAGACACTGTATCAGTGTCTGAACTGTCGGTGCCTGTCCAATTGGGGTATGACGTCACGTCACGTGGCCCCGTCTCGCGATGTTAGGTCGCGTGAAGGGACGTCATCCTCACACTGCGATTTGACGACGTGACGTGACGGTACAGCGTGACGTCACGTTTATCGGATATGCGAATGTATCGCTAATTAGTGGTGCAAAACCATCGATAGTACTATCGTTAGTATCGATAGTCGCCAGAAATCTCACTAACGTAAAACTATCTATAATACTATCGATAGTCGACTATCGAAAAGCTATTGATAGTACTATCGATAATCGACCATCAAAAAACTATAAAAAACTATCGATAGTTTTTTGTATAGTATCTATAGTCGACTATCGATAGTTCTGCGGCACTATGGATAGTTTTGAAAAAAAACTATCGATAGTATCGATAGTCAATTTATCGATAGTTTTGCATCACTATCGCTAATGCATTCTGCGTGCGGAAGGTTTTTGGACGGTAGATCAAAAGGGAGCTTCGGTTGTATTTTGTTGTTATTATTGTCGTTTAGAATCGTCGCGTCGCAGGGTTTACAGCCTCCAAGAATATTTTAATAATGCAGACTGCTGGGTTTACTAGATCCGCACTTTAGAAAAGAAGCGACACTCTCAAATATTAATGTATGTCGCGCTCCCGCCTTTACCGAGAGCGGTGACCCGGCGCCGTAACGAGATTTTAGGTCCCGCCACGGGTCCTTCATAAATATGCGATAAAGATGTTGCGAACCTTTGCCGAATCTCGAGGATCGACAGGTTCGGCTACCTTTCGAAACTTTTATCTACGTTCGACGAAGTTCGATTTATGGATGTTGTTGCCCGACTTCTACGCGTACAAATTTTGAATTTTGGGAAACGAGAAATTTACAAAATAGGTTTTTTTTTTTTATATATATATAAACAAAAAAAAAAAAATTACCACCTTCTCTCCGAGGCGTGTTATTAGGGAGTTTTAGTAAACCGTGTTTCCCCCTCCGCTAGCCGTTCGCTGCGAAGAAACCGCCACTGCGCCTGCGCGCCGATGGCCTTGGCTGTAGAGTTCCGGGTAGCGGAGGGGCTTAGCGGAGCGGGAAACACGGTCTACTAAAACTCGCTATTCTTCCTGGTATATCGGTCCTTTCAAATAGGCCACTCAATAAAGGTATACAAATATGTTCGAAGCATAAATATGCACAAAGTAGACATGCTAAATATACATAGAATTAAAGCCACTAAATGAGCTGCGCTTAGATTCTGGGCATTCCGTTCCCCGACATTGTTGTGGGCGCCGCCATATTGGCTCGTATGCAGAGCAGACGCAACTGCCGATCGTCATGATTCAAAAGTGCGACTTCCTCAGCACTAAATTCGGTGTTAGGAAGATCATGTAATATTGCTTTACTCTGTTGAGAACTGTTTTGACATTTGTGGAGGGCGGTAAAGCGTTTCCTGTGATCTCAGAGAAAGCTTCAGATAACTGGCAACCATGATTTTAAGCCACAATATGGCCGAGTGTCGTTACCCTGACGCGTAGGTAATTAAGTGGCACTATACAGAATAATTCGCGTACACGCCCGAGAAGTGTCCGCTTTAAAGGGGAAATGCAATAAGTTTTGAATTGTGCGGAAATACCGCTATGGACGAATGCCCGCCGTTAATGACCTACGAAACTCGGGTTCGTTCTTCACCACACGCAATAATGCGGAGCGCAAGTTCGTCTGCTTCTTTTGCAGGGGTTGCGGTAACTATGGTGCCTGGAGCGCGTCTCCGACTGGTGTGTTTACCGCGGCCAAAAAAGTGGTCCCTCGATTTCCGCCTGATGACGTCATAAAAGTGTCATGTTGTCGCCGGTCGCGACCCTGGCGGCGTCCCAACAGTTGTGATAAAAATAGCAGACGCCTGTTCTGCTGCAGGTCGCTTTCCATTGTGACAGTTCACGGAAGCTAGCGCAGCCGGAAGTTGGGACGCCTAAAGCGACGCCGTGACGACAGCGACACTCGCGTTCGCTCGTGCTTTTCGCCAGCATTTCTACGGCCAACCGCCAGGATCGCAACAGGCAACAGCATGACACTCGCGTCATTTGTTGCCGCATTGGGACCACTTTTGATGTATGGGCGGGATAGGGCGCTAAACACACCAGTCGAAGACGCAATCAAGGCACCATACGGTAACGTCAGGACGCGGAGCTCTGATTGACTCTGATTGAGGGATAGTGGGGAAACCTCAAGGGGCAGCTTGCTTTGAGGTCTTCCCGATATCCTTCCAATTGGAACCAATCACAGCTCGGCGTTTAGCGTCACCAGAACTCTTGCAAAAGAAGAAACGGCCACGTAATCTGGAGCGAATTATGTGCCGCCAACGTTGATCATTAGCCACGCGTTGAGTTCCAGACGTTGTTATGGTTCGGCTATTGTTGTAATTACAGCGATTGGACGCGGGCCACTATCCGAATGCTGGTCGAGCTATTGATTATCACGAGCCCAAATCGAGTGCTCACACAATGCTCTCGGG